GAAACGGACGGACATAGTCAGACGCGCGCCGAGATCGCTCGCAATTTCTCCAACACGAATCGTTTAATGAAACCGTTTGGATCGATGCTATCTTTGCGAGTAGACTCGCAAGCTTATCTGTTTTTCCACAATTTGTTCTTTTTTTTTATCGAAACGAGGTTGATTTTCGCATGTCTGATAGATAATGCCAAGGACGGATAAGGCATTTGGCTGTTCTGTTTTACGCTTAACGCGGAGCCGCGTGTCCCGGTGTAACAGTTTTCAACGGTTCGAATTCTCCAGTTCAAGGACACGCGGCGCGCATCGATTTCGAAATTTCTCCGATCGAGTGCAAGGGAACGCGACGGACGACGAGCCCGCGCGCAGGAGCAGCGCGCTCGAAATCGAGGTTAGCGTGCCGACGAAACCGAACCCTTTCTTCGTTTTCTGGTATTGACCGGGTTGCTCGTGGCGCGCTACGCCATCGCCATCTTTCGGACCCTCGGCTCACCTCTCGGGGGAAACTAAATTTTGGCGGGAGTGGAACGCGCTACACGTGAAAACACGCGGACTAGAAAAATGGTCGGTGTAACCCTTCGCGTAACCATCTCTGTGTCGAGACCGCGACGGATACGAAGAACCAAAGAAATTTCATTCAAGAATCGAGGGGTGTGCGTCCGTAAAAAGGCAGCTTCGGGTTCTTCAAATTTTTGGAAAATTAAAAGAGAACGTTTCGAAATTCAGATTTTTGAAATTTTCATCGTTTTTCTTCGTCCTATCATAGCATAGGTACTTGGCGATGAAATTTTCAACACTGACAAAAAAAAAAATGTTTGATACCGAATCCGAGTCTCCCTGCCTTATTATTCGTTTGGGGTCCTGCAGAATTTTGCCTCGCAACAAGTTTGGCCGGTTGTTGCTTTCGGCTATCGTCGCCGACTCGACTCGATTGTCTCTCGAATAGAGGAGATCTAACCAGCGATAACTCGCGATCGCGAGGCCGAGTAACAAGTGCTTTCGATGCCCGAGATATCATCGCCAGCGGCCATCCGTCTTCCGAAGGGATCGAATGTCGCCGCGAACTCGTGCGAACGGAACTGGACGTTCGCCAGGTCGAGCACGTGGTGCAACTAGTTCGTTCGACGCGCACCTTCGGTCCCGATCGCGACTTTTCTCGTCTACGTTCTCGTTTCTCTTTCCCGCGACGCAATCATTTCGAGTATGACGGACAGCTGTGACGCTCCGTCCACGCGGAACTCCGTTCTGTACGTTTTGGCTCGCGATATTGGCTTCCGGCTCTGTGTCGGTTATTACTCGGATTCTTCCGTTTACTTCCATTCGAACGCAAATTGCGGCACGTATTGTCGAGATTCGTAGAGTATTCGTACCTATGTTGGGATGTCGTTGAATGCACCGCTGTGGGTCGAAGAATGCGGTATTGTCGGATGAAAGAGATACAGAGAAGTTCTCGAGGCACTCTCGAATCGTATGTAAAACGACGTCCTTGCGGATGCGACACAAGAAATGTGTTTCTTCGCGATCATTCCAAGGCTCGCGTCTAGTTGATTGTAAAACGTATACCGAATACGGCCCTGGCCTCTTAACCCCGCCACTCGAGAGGGCTACCGTTCGGGCTTCGAACGCGTTTACCTGTACGTATCCATCGAAGATACGATCCCTTCGGTACCACGCGTTTCCTGTTTGCGACATTGTATCGACGACGTTATTGGCTAGCGATTCGCGCGTTACTATTTTTTTTTATTTTCTTTTTTTTTATTTATAGTATCAGGGTGAACGAAAAGTTCGGTTCTCACCCTAATTCTGGGACACCCTGTACAATTGTTAACTACGTTAATTTATTCATAGTTTAATTTTTTGGTCGTTTTAGTAAAATTATGGAAAATTTCGAGATTCGAGTACTCTTTCGACACTACTGAAAGCAAATAGCAAGGTAAATATTACATATTTAAATAATATGTATATATATATATATATATATATATATATATATATATTATATATTGTAATTCCATCTAAAGACTTCAAAGAGTTACATAAAAATGACATGTGGGATAAATTTGATATATTATTCAATACTATGATATATTTAATATCAGAGCAATTTAATGTAATCTATGTATTATTATATAATGCAGATATATGTATATAACATTATATAGTATGAATACAATATATAATATCTTTAATATATTACATTAAATTGGTCTCTTAATACATTAAATAATATATTAAATTTATCCCACATGTCATTTTCATGTAATACTCTGAAATCTGTAAATGGAATGTGAACTTCTTCGCTAAGTTCTACTAACGTTGCGCATTTTGCTAAACCGTCCGCGATTTCGTTACCTTTAATAAGTATCGAGTATCACGCTACAACTACTTCTTTTCGGTGCCGCCACCGCGCGGCACCTCTCGGAATCTCGTCTATTTTCGTTTGTGCGGGTGGAGGGTGGTTGAAAGGGCGGAGAAAATCGTGGATGGCGGTTAATCGCTTCACCGTCTGTCCGCGCGAGGCCAGGTGTAAACGGATGTTCTAGTTGCCCCGCACCCCACCGCCCGACGTCCAGTTCGTATGCTTAACGATTAAATATTTCAGTCGTCTCCGGAGGGAGGAAACTATCCGAGAACAATACCAATCTCTCGCCGTTTCGTTTCTTGGCAAACGTTTCACCTTTTCGCTCTTCTTCGCGAAACGTCGGAGTTGTCAAGGTCTCGCCTGTATTCCGTTACTCTTTAATTCGATCTCTCCTCGGACGACTGCCACGAAACTCCACGCGATGACGAATCGATCGACCCCCCGGGAGGGTCGTTAGCGACCCGGTCGAGATCCCACGAGATAAACGAAGAAAGACGTCGAATTCGTGGATAACCGATCGAGCAAAGTTGGCACGGTTTCGCGGACTCGCGAACGTCGCTCGGGTCCCTCGCTTCCCTGCCGTTCTTATCAGAATTCCGCTCGTGTTTCCCGTAGCGTCGGCTCCGAACCTCATTAAGGACACGCGGGACGCGACATCGAGCGATCCCTTGATCGGATGCGCGCGCCTTTATCTTCGCGCAATCCGATCGGCATCGAAACGGTACAATCGTCGTCAAGTTTCGTTCTTTATCCGTCGAAAGGTAAACGGTGGCCTTTACAACCTTTCGAAATCGTAGTCTTCCGCACTAGCGAGATGGGCGTGTACAGGCAGTCGCACAGGTATTCGTACCCTCTGCGCGCATTAAAGAAATCTGTCTGAATTAAACGGTAGGATTAACGTCTCCACATGAATGTTTCGTTATAGATAGGAAAAATTGATTCGTCCACGGCAAAGCTTTCTTTTGTCTCAGACGAAATGCTGTCGTAGAGGGTACAGAATATTTACAGGACCGACTGTAACTCCGAAGGTAACGCAGGTACGAAATCCAGGACTGGGCGCGACTCGTCTCGGGTCCTGGACGCGATTGCACGTCGCGTACGAGGAATCGCGACGGGGTGAATGCAATCCAAGGTCTTCCGTTCGATCGGAAGATGTCGAAACGTAGGGTGATTTCGCACCTGGTTCTTTCGCCGTCGCGTTCTCCGGTGCTGCCACCGGGCGGTATCCAGCGAAATCGCGTAGAGTGAGAGAATCCGTGGCGGTGCGCGGAGTGAGTCGGCGTGGTCGCGGAACGGAAGGAAGAGACGGTGTTTGGACATTGGTGTAGACGCTACCGTACACGTTGTCACGGTCCTCTGGTTCCCGCCTGGTCTCCGGTCCCTCTCGACTGGTTCGGTCCGTCTTCCCGTTAGACATCCCCTCTCGTCCCGCTCGCGTAGATCACGCCGTAAGTAAGATCCTCTCGAGATATCCGCGAACGAAGGTTGCACGTGCGTGAGTCGGTCGCGAATGGGTCGTACGCGGTTTCTCGTAAGGTGGAAAGATAGCGGAGGGTTCGGTGGCGCGCGTGCACGAGGCCGAGGAGAACCGAGAGGTTGGGGCTCGGTGGTTCTGTCAACGAGTGTGCCGGATCCGTAGGACATCGGACGGCAGCTGGTCCCGGATCTCGTCGAGGGAGGAATACGCGAAAGGAGATACTGACTGGGGCGGAAGGAAGAGGGTTGGTAAATCGGGGAGAGATAGATAGAGAGAGAGAGAGAGAGAGAGAGAGAGTGTGAGAAAGAGCTCGTCGAAGATACCATCGTCGTCGATTCGGGAGGAAGCGAGATAGCCGGCAGAAACGCGAGAGATCGAGAGGCAGGAGCAGTCACGGAGGCAGAGCGAGAGCGAGAGAGAGGTGGAGTGAACGGGCGATAATCGAGGATTTGAATGGGTGGGCCGGGAGCCGGTAGGGTTAGCAGGCACGAGCTGAACGCGGTGCCAAAGAGCCACGTCGGTCACGGGGATCGGACCCTCGTAATCGGCGAGCCAGCAGCGCCAGCATCGCAAGGCTGTCGGTGTCACTCGACTTCGGAACGCGCGATCTCGGCATCCGGCCTCGTCCCCGCCCAGCTGCCGCCTTCGCCGCCGCCTCTCGCCTCGCTGCACATCGCCGACAACAGCTGCGCTGCCTTCGGCAACAACAATACCACCGGGACGCCGAACGCGGTCTCGGACGGTACCAAGGCTGCTGCGACCATGTCCTCGCCGCCCAAGCACCGAAGGGGCTTCGACCCCAACGACGTCAACGCCAACGACTATCGCCGTTATCGTCGCGTTAAGACGAGACGGTGAGTTCTCTCGCATCTCTATATTTTTTATATCATTATACGTATGTTCGGAATTACCCGTTCAATTATTGCCGTTCGTACCGGCTGATCCGTATCGGGCCCAGTCACGTCACCGACGCGTCACTTCTATCCTGCAACATTTACCAATAACGGACCCATCTATTTTTTCATCGATCCTTTTAACCCTTTCGCTACGACTCTCTACTCCGCCGGACTATCGTCAGTGAACGAAAGCGTCAGATGACAGCGCTTAATGAAATAATCGTTCCTCTGTCTAACGCGATATTTTTAATACGTACAGAGATTTATTCGAAATTGCGTCGATTGTATGTTTTACTTACGCAATCGTATCGGATATAGCCCCTCGATCATAAATACGTGGACACTTACTACCTTCGATGAATAATTAATATACCCCCTTCAATGAATAATTAATATACCCCCTATACACAACTTTTCTTGCTAAATTCGATCTTGGACGTGTATTTAACAGCATTTAATAATAGCATAGTGTTTCGACCATCGTATTCAATTTTATTCCAAACTTGAAAAATCACGAGTCCGGCTCACGATGAAAATTTCAGGCCAAATTTGAAAATCACAAGTCCGAGACGCGATGACAAATTTCAGGGCAAACTTGAAAATTACGTATCAGTCTCGTTAAATTTAGTACGACCAATTTTGTTCGAGTTTCAGGATGGCGAAAAGTATTATTAAAATTTCATACGACTCGAGTATCGTGTCCGCTTATTACTATCTACTACTACTTGCGTTTGTGAGCATCGACAACGAAACGTTACTTTATCGGTTTTTTGGATGATTCAAGAAATTTTGCACGAGTCGGCTCGCGATGAAAATTTCAGGTCGAACGTGAAAATCACGAGTCCGGCTCGTGCTGGAAATTTCAGGTGAAACTTGAAAATCACGAGCCAAGCTCTTTATTAAATTTAGTGCGATCATTTGGCCATTTTTCCGAGTTTCGGCGTGAAATATATTCGCTCGTGCAACGTAAACATATCGAAACACGAACGATATAATTGATATCGATAGATTCGCAACATTTAGTAGATATTTATTTCTATCGAGAAAGTGTCCACATGCTTCCGAGCAGGGATGTATCCGGCGATAGTAGCGAAAGGATCAAAGTATCATCGACGAACGTATCCTACCCAAACCGCGTGACTCGGCCCGTGCGTCTCTTTATCCGCCTAATACCCAGTTTTTATGTTCTGCCTCGTTACCCACAGCTGCAACCTTCCGATCCCTCGTGCATCCCCGAGTAGAGCCGTTCCACTCGAGACCATCGCGAGCGTCTCGGTCGTTCGTCTTCGCCGAACGCATTAAAAAGCTCCGTATTCCGTGGCTTGGAATAATTTAAACGGCTCTACTCGCGTCGAATCGGCGAGCTCGTCGTCGATTTCCGCCCTCGAGAATCATCGCGATACCACGTAACTGGGAAATCCATCGAACCGCGCGCGCACGTGTACCTTGTACAATAATTATGCTTCGCGGTAAATGCCGCGGGGAAATACGCTGAATATCCGCGACTCGCGTGTTTCCCTGAGAAACGTCGTCCGCGCGAATCGAACGTTGGAAAAGTTTCTTCCACCTTCGTTCGTCGAATCGCGAACGCGAGCACGGGTTCGAAGGACGCGATCTCGAACGGAACGCGCGACGAATTCGACCGAAGCATGATCCGTACCCCTGTCCCCGAACTCTCCTCCGGAAGACAGTGTCTTCCAGCCCCGCCTCCTTCACGCAGCTTTCACTGATCGCGAATGCACAATGTTCACAGAGGCTTTGTATGTTCCACACCGTGGCCTTGGGCGCCGGACACAGAACTTCCCCGACATCCCCCGACATATATCCATCAGCACGAGGCATTAAAACATACACACAAGCTTGCGATGTTCGATGTTGGACCGCTTACTGGTTGTGCCCCCGACACGAAAATCCGACGAAAGTCGAAACGAACGACATAACGGAAATCGAACGAAACACCTAGCGATACCTTGCGCTTCGTGGATACGATACGCATCGAGAGCGAGCGTTGCTTTCCGACTCGAAATCCAGCGTGCGTCTGCAACGGCACGCCGTGAAAAAAAAATCGGCTATGCGATCGTAAAGAGAAAGAGCTGCGTGGCGCGAGCAGAATATTGGGTCTCGTCGCTCTCCCGATGCTTTCGATCGAGGCTTGGAATGCGATGCAGCGGAATGGAATGAAACGGAATGAAGAGCCTTGCACCTTGGACGATAAAGCTTTCGCGCACTCCTCGATTACCACCTGCTCGTGGACCGGAGAAGAGACGACGCGACCGCTCTCTTCTCCCACGCGGCGAATACCTGAAATGCTTAGTTCGATGTGTCGACTCCAAAGAGAATTGCCTTCCGCTCGCGAATTGTGCGAGGAAACGCAGGAAATCGGAATCGAAACCGCTCCGGAATCGACCGCCATCCCATCGTCGTCACCCTTACCCACCCGCCGCCGCCTTTCGCGCCGAGAGAAACGATCGCGACGATTCTAGTCGAGTTTCAACGACGGAGATCCGAAAAACGTAAACTAAAACTAAACTGTTCACGTGTATGGAGACTCGCGTTTCGATTTTGACACCATTCGACGCCGTTTTCTCTCGGTGCGCACGACGCTGTGTTTTCAACTGTTCACCTCGTCGATCGTTTCGCGGCTATAAACGTGGTATTCTCGACGTTCTGTTTTTGTCGTTTTTTTATTCCGAAAGGATCGCATGCACGAGTTGTTTTCGATATGTATTGCGTGTCGCAAGGTGAGTGGATGATTGTTCGCTGGGAACCGTAGCAAATTTAGGCGCGACGCTGTCACAGCTGGCAGCGACGCGACGAAGGGCGTAGAAACACGCGCGGGATAGTTGACACGTACCTACAAATTGCGAGTGTGCGTCGCCACCCTCGCTCTTCCCATTCGATAATTAATACCGTCGCGCTCGTTCGCGAACGAACACCGAAATACGCGGGAACTTTTATTCCAGCGAACCTGGACCAGTGTTCGCGACGAAGTCGATCGTGCGATTTTGTACGGATTCGTACTTGGATCGAATGCGAGTACGCGGCACGAGGAGACACGAATTTTTTCGGACGGGAATCGCATTCCCCCGTGAACTATGCGAGGCAGTGGTTTCCAAATCTCTCGGATGCCGTGGCCCCGTCGTTCGTTTTCGAAACTGGAGTCGTTTGATTTCGAAGACGGATGGATATCGATGCGTCGTCCACGTTTTTTCCGTGTTAAAAGTTTCGCGTCGCGTCCCCTATGGCTCTCTTGGGGTTGCGCCCCCTAGTTTGGAGAGCACCGACGTAACACGTTGATAACGTTTAGCTAAAAATACGCGAGCTTCTCGCTGCAATTTTATCCGTTTCCCGCGGCGAAACGTAATTTCCATCGAACTTCAATCCGCGACGTGTTTGCTCAACGTCGATCGCGAAATTGTAAGAAACCTCTGTCCGCGCGACGATTCAATCGTTCGCGATTAAATATCATACATCATGCATCGAGCGCACCACACCCATCGACTTGCATACACGGGCACGGACACGGACACATGTATACACAGGACACAGACACACAGGCTCGCGCGCGCGTGTACACACGAGGCCAGACAAGAATATAGGATGACGGTACCTGCAACGACGAGTCTCCAATCCGCCCGATCGATCGAACATACTCAGTCAGTTCCAGCGTTCGGTAATTGGAACGCCGGACCGGTCGATAACTATGAATGAGCTATTGATTCCGGACGAAAAATGTTTGATGAGAAAAAATCGACCGTTCGCTAAAAACGTTCAAGGCACTGTTCGAAAGAAAAGAAAACGACGTCGTAATTTAGACGAGACCTATGAATATTAATTGAATTTGTTTAAAGGAGTGATAGCCATTCGAATACGTTACGTCCGATAAAAATCTACGTCGTTGGAAATACGTAGCGCGAATCGCTTACGACTGGATTTATTCGTCGGACCTGATCCGCTTAGGTATTACTTTCATCGGAGATTGCTTTCGAGTTGTCGAAGGAAGAAGAAAAAAGAAAAAAAAAAAGAGAGAGAGAGAGAGAGAGAGAGCTCAATCGTTTCGACGGTCCCTAGTAAAATCTCGAGCCTCGACGGAAGATAGCTTAAGCATTCGCGGAATTAATAATACACGTCGCGACGAACAAAGTGGAGCAACGGTCCTCGAATCGGCTATAGTCGACCGTGCTGCGATTCACGACAATCCACGCGGTGCGTGACCGACTTTTTTGTACAATAATAAAGTAGAAAGGTATGTAGCTTCCCTCCAAGATTTAATTTGCTCCGTGCGCACCGAGATTGAATTTACGACGTCGGGCGTCGGGCGACCGGTGGCAAGCAGAAAGGGAGAGAACGGACAGGCAGAAGCGAACGTGCTGAAAGCCGAGGAAAAGTCCTAAATCCGCTGGAAAGTGGAACGGTTTCGTATATACGTGTACAGGGTGGACCATGTAAACGGGAACGCGTCGTGTAACGCGTCGTAGCGAAAGCAGATCGTCGAGCGAATGTAAACGTCGCGAATGTGTCGCCAGTGAGCGTACACTATCGCAAAACGCGAAAGACATCTGTTCGAGGGATTTAACCTGGCCGTTGATGAGTCAGCGAGTCGGAACTTTTATTTTTATATTCGCTAGCGGACAAACAAACCGAAACGATTTTAAAAAGGTTAATAACTACGAGAGTTTTCAACCGATTTCGATGAAACTTCGCGATGAATAGTCTTCAAGTGTCTTCTGGCTGTGTGCAAAGTTGCATTGGCGAAGGTTGATGCGAAGGGGTTGATTCACCCCCCTGAAGGGGAGGGTGTAGAAAAACGCCTCTTTGAAACAGGCCAGGAACGACGGAAGGGATTGACTGTATGTAACACGAAACGGAAGTTTCTTTAAAATAACCAATCCTTCCCAATCCTTCTCCGTTCTCAGATTTCTCTCGTCGTCCGTGATTGGTTAGCGGCGAATGCTAATTTCACGTCAAGGCGAGACATGAACGATAGCGAAACCCTAATTCAGCGTTACCTAAGTATATTTCCCCACAAGCCCATTTTTTAACGGTATCCTTCATTCAGCCATGATACTTCTTCTCAGTGGTTACAAGCTTTCTGAAGCCTTTTAAGCGTTTGTATTGTAAACCGTTGCCTTTGAGGCAGGCTCGTCGTTGCTCGTCGTTGGCCCCTTTCTTTCTTTTGTTTCCAAAGAGAGCTTCGAATCGCCGGCTTTCAATTCTCATTTTCTCTTCAGCTTTCTCTCGAGTAACGAACCTAATATCGGACGCGATAGCATCGCGTTCGGACGATACCGTTGCTCTCGGTTTCCAAACAGTACCGCCGACTTCCTGGAGCGTTTATCCCCCTGTCTTTGAATTTTCTTTAATTACTTTCTTCCTTCGATTCTTCGCGTCGAGGGTACCGTTCAAATGAAACTCGTCCTCGCCGAGTCGATCCTCGAACGAAGCTGTTTTCGTACGTCGTCGTTAACGTTCGAATTCGATGGTCGTCGTTCCCGAGTGTCGCGCGACGTTCGTAAATGTAAACATTCGGATTCGAGTCTGTCCACCATGTGTGTGGAAACTTGTCAACAACATCGGTACGTCACTGAAGACCTCGACGTTAGCATAGGTCAGACCAATACTATCTCTTCGAGCCGATGCAGACACGGTAGTTAGCGGTCGGTCGTATGCACGGCTTCAGTTCCCTGTCGACGAAGATCTGTCTCGGTTCGTGTATCGACGAACGTTTCGGTTCCTCGACGCGTGTTTATGCATCGGAGCTGGCCGTGTCTCGTACCCAGTTTCGACAAAGCCTAGCCGCGATGCTTCGTAACGAGCTATTTATATTTGGTCGCGGTATCGTTTAACCGATCCCGCGATCGTACGCGACGTTTGAATCTGTCAAAATTTCGGTCGAAATTAAAATGGCGACACCGTTACGATGAGCGTAACTCGCCGTAGAGCCTAGACGATGTACCGCGAGAAACGACGTCGCGTCTCGTAATTTTCTCCTTATAAAATGATCGACGTACGCGATCGATAATTTCGAAGGGTGCTTGGCAGACCGCTAGCTCCGTGCGTAGTCGCGGATCGAACGGTGCGACGATGTATTTTCGTGGAACCGTTTAAAATGTTCCGGTAGTGTGATATGGGTTTTGGTGCCTTCGTCTTGGACTCTGTGATTCTGCTTGTCGTTAGCAACGTTATTCTGCGTTCGCTCGGCATCTGTTACGTGTGCCTGCCGTATTCCCTCGTCTTGACTGTATTCATTGCGAGCGCTGTCTACTTGTAAGTACCACCGTCTGCGAAGCATTCGACGAAACGGAGAAACGGGCTTCCGGTCCGTGTCGTCGTGGCGCGGTCAAGGGTCTCGGGTTATCGAGAAATTAACGTCGTTCGCGAAACCGTTTTTAAACGAATCTAAACGAACGCGATCGATCATCTCGGCCGGCGGCTCGAGCCGTCTCATCGTACGTTAATTTCTTCGCAGCACGATACCGTCGCGTACTTTTCGAGCTTTTTTCGACGTTATCAGCGACTTCTATCTCGATTCCTCCCACCCTCTCAGCTGTGCGGTCTCTTTGATCTTCGGATTTACTTGTATCCCCGCGGATCTATGGAATAGAAGTCACAAAAGGGAACGGTAAGCGTGCTCGGGTCTTTGCGAGGGAATCCTTCGATGTTGAAAGAAGAAGCCGCGGGATCCAATTTTGTCGGCACGCTTTGACGAATAATTGCGATTTACGAGGAGCGCGGAAAAGTAAAGGCTGGCGAATGAAAAGTCGGGGTTCGATTATCGAAGTCGCAGCGTTTGGAGTTCGAATAGGACGTATTCGGCTTGCTCGCAAGTACGGGAAACCTTTATTTGCGATCGAGTTGCTAATTCTTTCTTTCTTTTTCTTTTTTTTTTTCGAAACGAACACCGCCCGACGAATTAACCCTTTGCGATCCGACTTGTTTCGGTTTCTCGATCGGGGCATCCGGAGCTATTTATTTCCCTTCGACTGGCACGATTGTAACCGATGCATCGTTAGTACGTGAAATATATTTTTCTATTTTTTCTTTGTTATTGTATTTAATAACGAGGGCATATTGCCCGTAAATAAAGTATTACTATTACTATCGAAAGAACAGTGAAACGATACTTTTTTTTTTATCTAACAGATTGCAAACTGAATCAAAGGAAATTTTTAGGAAGCATACCTTTAACCCTTAAATGCCCCATGTTTCGAATTCGATACCGGACCTTTAAATCGAATTATACACCTGGAATTGGTTTGTTTCTAATATTTGACTGTATGCATGTTACCGTTGCATAACGTTCTTTTGAACAAAAGTTAGAAAAAAAAAAAAAATAAACGTCAGCTATAAAAATTGTTGAAATAATAAATACATTGATGAACGATACATAGGCATCTAAGAAAATCAGGCATCCAAGGATCAAGTGTTCACCGTTGCGCGCGGTCCGGCTATGTACGGTCGCGACTACTTACCCCTGGCGACGACCCAAAAGCGGAGCTCTCCTCGACGCGTTCGAGTAGCTCGATCGTTCGACCGATTCGATCATAATTCGAGTGGCTCGAATGCATTCAAGAGCTCGTCTCGACTCTCTTTTCAAAGCGATCGGTTGTACTATCCGATTGGAGCACGATATCCGGCCGACAACGAATCGCTGTAACTACTTTTCGCCGTACAGCCACGGGCGCAATATTATCGGATAAAAAGGAATCGCAAAGGGTTGAACAACGGGCGACGACGGAATCGGAAGGATCAGCTGTTTACGTTAATTCCGTAAAACGGGAAAGCTGGTTCGTAGATCTGTAAGGACTCCTCTCTTGGTTTAGGCTCCGAGCCGGGATGCCGCTTACACGAAAGTCATTCGCGTGATGTCTTGCCTAACAGCAGCTCCCGGAAGGGCGCGAATGACCCGGAGAAGATGACGAACTGGATCGAGAAATTGTTGTTCTTGTTGGTGATACTTCCGGGCGGACAGGGCGACCATCGTAATCAGTTGCCACGTCGCAAGAAGCGGTGACAGTAACACACAACACGCGCAAAGCTGCGCGCTTTCTGCCTTCTGAGTTTACCCCTTGCACTTAGCAAACGCATTAGTCTCATTCGTTCACACCTTTCGCTTCAGTCGACGCAAGGGCGGAATTTTGTTGGGTTGAACCGTACCATGGGGGACCAACAATTATTGAGTCTTTTTCTTTTCGTTGTCCTGTAGATTTCGACGAGTACTTTTCGTCGCCGTATTGCCTTGAAGTTTTGTCGGCGAATACGGAATTAGACGGCGTTGATAGCAAAGTGATTCGTAGAAAATAGCGCAGAAATACCTGCGACTCCCGATTACAAAATTTGAATTCGTAGTCTAGGGCGAGGGAGGAGCAGAACCCTTACTGGCACTTCTTTCCCGAAAATATAGGCCCGAACCGACTCTGTCAATTCGAAATATGGAAATTGTATCGGAGCTCCTGTCTCCGAAATTTCTTCTAATTGTGGCTTTCCCGGTTGCATTTGGGAAAC